TTCCACTGTTTATAGTATAATTGTCTTAAATATTCCATTATATATATTGATATCCAAATCAGTCAATGTTATATTTTTGTTCTGTCAAATGTAATTTAAAGTACTCAAGGAGAGAAGGAAAATATATTATATTTACATTTACTTTTTCCATTATTCTTTCTTCCTGAAACTATTTCTGCTGGACATAAAATTCAGGACTGATTGTTCCTTCCAGCATTTGAAAAATCCTGGGCCCCTGCGTGTGTGTGTGTGTGTGCGCGTGTGCGTGTGTGTGTGTGCATGGTTTTCTGCTGAAAAATGCACCCTCATTTGAATTGTTTTTTTTTCCCCCTACAGGCAAGTTATAGTTTATTTCTTGCTGCTTTTAAGGTTACTTTTCCTTTACTTTTCAACAGTGTTATCATGATGTGGTGGGGTGTAACTGCACTATTATTTAGGAAAATAACATTTATGTTTACTTTTGAAAAATTATTCATAAAATCCAAACACATAGCAAGTAAAAGTCATCAAAACTGCTAAATTCAAAAGGTATATGATATGTAACAAAACTCAGATTTTGTCTATTTCTTCTATTCTTAACCCTTTTGTTCCAATTTGTTTTTAGGCATTTAGGAATTAAAGATAAAAGAAAGCTTAAATACAAAACTATTACTTCTTTGTTATTAATAATGCTAATACATAATAGGTTTTCTTATAGTTCTGCTGAGCAGTTATTTTATTTTTTTATTTCAAAACAATCAACCTGTCAGGCCAGATCCTTGATTTCCTTTTTTATCCTCATTGTCTTTGTACCACCACAGAAGAGCAGATGACTTATTCTGAAACATAATATTTATAAGCAAGAACAACTTTTTTTTTATTAAGCCTTACTTCACTGTCTCTCAGAGATTAGAGGGATCAATTAAGTTTCTGAATCTGAGATTTTTTTCCTGCAATATGGAGAACTGTCATGAAAATTATAACAGAAAAACTTGGTTTTAAAGTCTGTTTGAAAAACTCATGCTTGAATGGTTGAAGGATAATCTGAAAAGGTATGAGTGAACTGTATTGTTTGGATAAAAAAATGCAAGTTATTTGAGGGGGACACCTCCTAAAACAGAATTATCTGATGGAGGGTGGACCCCTGGGAGTACAGGCTTCCCCTGCTAGATGAGTGTTCTAGGAACCCCTCTGTATCAGTGGACCAGTTAGCATTGTTGTGAGAGGCTGCATTCAGCTTCAGTGAATTTTTTTTTGAAGATTCTTTCATGTGTTTACCCATTTCATGATGGGGGATTTAGGAGCGCACCTGCCCACACCGCACTGAATATTCAGCAGGTTTTGACCAAAAGCAACATGATCCCCATGGCCCACCCTCTCTATTCACCTGATCTGGCCCCAAGCTACTTTTTTTTGTTTCCCGAGATGAAAAAAATCCTGAAAGGGAAACATTTTGCCGACATTGATGAGGTGAAACAAAACACAGCAGAGGCACTAAAGGGCATTGAAATCAACGAGTTAAACAACTATTTTAAGCAGTGGAAAAAAACATCTTCATAGGTGTATAGTATCAAATGGAGAGTACTTTGAAGATGACTGAAGTTTAAATATGTAAGGATAAATACACTATTTTTTACAAATAAATTCCTTTTTTTCTTCTTGCAGAAAAGCCTTACTATAAACTTAAAAAATGTCTAAAACTGCTAGTCTGTGTTATAAAGTCCACGTTTAAAGTGGTGAATGGCCAGTCCACACAGGCAATTAGTCTGTATGCAATATCTTAATTGCAGCATAGTAGAAGGGTACTTCCATTGATGATAAAGATGAATACATTCTGGAAGTTGTCAGCAAAAAAGAATTTTAATAGAGGTAAATATAATTTCATATATGTCACTAGACTTTTACATAATATCTGAATGTATCACATGCTCTTCCAGGAATAATAGATTGTCTCTAGTACTTGTATTAAATCATGGACCTGAGTGTTAAGATAAAATTTTGAAGAGCTTTCTGGAAAGTTTAAGTACTTGAGTTCTGAGGAAGCATTGTGTACTAAATTTAAGGAACATATTTTTTCTTTTAAAACATATGTGTCAAATATTACTAAATATTTTATTTCAAATAAATATATTAGAATATTATTTTTCCTACATTTTCATCACATTTGTCTCAAGGTAAGGTGAGACAGGAAAGCATAATGAGAGATAAACACTACGTGCCTAAGCCTTGTCTTAAGTATGTTATGAACAATAAATCATTGAACCCTCAAAGTTGACTTTTTAAATATTTTATCACACTCAGTAATAAGATCAGGAAACTGAGATAACAACAGATTCTAACAGCTAATGGGACAATTTTTAAACCTACAGGTCTGAATCCATAGCCTGCATTTTTAGCCACCAAATTATAGATATGCAAATGAATGTAAGCATTGTAATTAGAGAGAACTGGTGAAAAACTTTACTTTTCTACTTACCAGTTGTACAAACTTGGCAACTGAACAATTGAATGTCCTTTTCTTTAAAATGGGAATAAAAATTCCCACCTTGAAAATTTTTGTAAAGATTAAAGACAAGTAAAAACATCCAGCACTCCCTAAAAGGTCAATAAACAGTAGCTATTATATATTATGTTCTAATGTTTTCTTTCTAAATATATAAAACTAAACTTTGAGTATTTTCCTCCCTCTATGGATTGATTAGTATTTTTTTAAGGTAGTGATACATACCCTTTCTCCTCAATATATCTTAATGTATCTTTTCTCTCTTTCTCTGCTCTCTCTCTTTCTAATTCCATCTTTATTTTAAAAAGTCTTATATTCCCTAAGAGCCTCATATTTGACATTTGTATGTCATACTCTACCAAAATTTCTCCAACACAAATGCTCTATTCTTGTTATCTTAAATGACCTGAAACGTGACGCTCATTCATCACTTTATAGCTTTGTCCCTGTTCTTTTCTCTGTTTGTAATGTGTCTGTCTAGTGTCCTCTCTACCTATTCAAATATTCAAACCTAAACATTTAGTTGAAATCCTGTTCATTCAACAAAGACTTCCTATCTATTTTATTTGACAATATAACACTATCCTCTTGTAAAGACCAACAGAAGGTCTCTTAAGCCCCATTACGAAGGCCAATTGTGTTTCCTCTGAGTATCTGGTTTGCTTTTAACTTATTTATACTGTCAATCATATAAGGGTTTTTTGTGTCTATGTTTACCTGGTCATCAGAAACTCTGGTCCTAAATGTGTGGTCCATTTTAGTAGCTAGAAAATACTTCAAAGCATGCTAATTATGCCTCTAAATTTATAGATGAATTACTTTTCTTGTATTTTCCCATCTGACCATCACACAAATTTGATTTTAATTTTTGCATGTGTTAAACTCTAAAGAGTCAATAGAATTTTATCTCACCAAAAAAGTAGTCCTACAAAAGAAATGCTTGGAAAATCTCTGAAAAAATACAGAAAATAATGTAAAACAAATTTAAAATTACCTGTAAATAACCATCCAAAATAACCACTTCAAATTCTTTGACCTATTTACATTATAGTTTTCTGTGAATTTGTGTGGATGACTATTTTCAAAGGTTTTAAATATACTAAAATATAATTTTGTATTATATTAAAAATAATGTTACATGAAGTATTTTAGGTCATTAAACATTATTTAAAAACATGATATTTAATGACTTCATAATAATATGTCATATAAATGTTTCATCATTTAATTGAAATATTCATATATAGTGGGACATGTATGCTGTGTTCAATGTTAAACACATCACTGCTATAAAAGTTTTGCATTGACTATCTTAATTGTTAAACCTTTAACTTATATTAATGTAAATTAAAGGAAGAGTCTCAATTTATAAGTTGTACATATTTCTAAAATTATTAATACTTGTAGTCAAATTTCTCTTTACACAATTCCTCTATTCATTTGACAATTGTGGGCACTGTGATTCTAAATTTATGTGATGTGATGTGATTTTAAATTTATACTATATGTATTTCTTTTATTTCTAAGTTAATTTACTCTTTATTATATTTTTTCCATTACCACTTAGTCCCCTTATACCTCCCCTTCCCCCCCAGCTATCACCATACTGTTGTCCATGCCCATGAGTCCTTTTTTCTTACTTGCTCAACATACATTTCTATAAATCACTTCAACACTTTTGGAAAAGGATGTATAAGTAAATAAATGAATTAACAAATGAGTGGGTATATTTCCAACTCAAATTAATTTTTTATTAAAAATCATATGTAAATGATATAACAATGGTAGTATTACACAGTTTGTTGTGTTCCTTTTTAATTTTCTTTTAGCATTAATATCATTTTATCTTCTGAAATAGGTTGAAGAAATTGCTTTTAGAAGACACTGTATGATATTTCTTTTAAATTTCTATGTTTTATATTTGTGAAAATATATTTATGTCATAGTATATGTATTGCTTGACAATTAGACTTCACAGTTCACCAAAAAACAAATATTAAAAAAACAAACAAACCAAGAACCTTTAACAAGAAGTAGTTTTAAGTATTGTGGTGAGAATACAAATAACCACAATTCCTCTTGTCCTTTCAGGGTAACATCAAAACAGCTAAAAACAATCTTTTCCCACTTTCTTCTTACACAAAAATGTTAGCCAGTGACAACATCACATATATTCTTTCCCAAATTTTGTTTATAACGTGATGCATCACACTTCAAGACACTGAATCCTTAGAGTTTCTAAACAACATGACAATTAGATTATTCAGTTGTAAGAACTCAAAAGTCTGGGGGATGCAAATATATATTCTGAGAGCATTTTACTAAACCAAGAAAAATGCATAGAACACAAGAATGTTTGAAGACAAATAGCAAGACTGTTTTGAAAAGAATGAACCTGAAATTGTGTCATGTCAAACTAACACTATTGATAAGATTACTCTGGGGTAAAGTGAACAAGCTTACTAGACTTGATCACACTGAGAGCCAAGATTGTGATCTCTAAATATTTCTTTTCCAGTCATAGAAACTAGGACTCCTCAGGACGAAGGTCTAAATGAGCTTCACATACCAGAGAACAAAAGAAGCTTTCAAAGCTACTAGGATCATGTCTAAAGTACACAAGAGCCAACTGGAAGAGAATCCTACTGGCCACAGAAGATATTTTGGTGCATCAACAAGCATAAAAACTGTGTGAGAGAGAAATACATCAAAACAGAATTAAGATACAGCTCCCTGTAGTTTCCAAAATATATTACCCCACACCCATCTACTTTGCATTTTCTAAAACTAACTGCTCTTCTCTGAAGTCATTACCTTAACCACTCTATATGTTCTTCATGTTCTGTACATGTTCACTATAATTTGTAGGGTCTGAAAAATAAGTAAAGGCAGCACATGTGTTTAATCTCCCACATTCATAAGCCTCAGAATTACTCTTAAATATTTTTAAAGAAAACATGCATGAAGACACACAAATCTGCTTTGCTAGACCAAAATAATGTCAAAATTAAGTGTGGATTTCTTTGCAAAAAGGCTATCTTTCTGTTGAGTACCAGCTTCATTTTTTTCTCATGTACTTATTCTAAATTTCTAATGTGAATAGAAAGAATTTGACTACGTTCTAGGAAATAGTTTTCTGACTGATTTTTATCTTTAAGGAGAGTTATGTCATTTTAAGTGTTTTCTTACTGTGGAAGTTGAGCAGTAGTTTCCATTAAAACTTCTCATGTACTATGCTGTGCAGAGAAAATTAGACTGCACGTCCATCTTGTTCTTCAAAAAGCTTTAATTGTATAGCACCCGAAGTCTTACTAATCCACATTAGTAATACACATTATAACCTCAGTAGAAGATATTCACCATGTGGGGCAAAAACAAAGGGAAACATACAGTAGTATAGAAGTAAGACATTGGAGAATAGCAGAGAAAACACTGAATCTGGGTTCAGCTACTGGCTCTATTTTGACTGCAATTTTATAGAAGCATTTAACTTTGAAAGTATATCTCTTTATGTGTAAAACTGCATAATTGGAAAGGATAATGTAACAATCTTCTGACTTTCTGTGATTTCTTATTGTTAAAACTATTCAACATACTGAATGTATGTCAAAATTCTATATCCTTGAAATGGAAGAATATTACTTAGAAAAAGAAAAACTGTAAAACATTTGCAAGTTTTAGTAAGGATTTTTAACTCAAAATACATTATAAAATGTCAAGTTTAATGGTTCAAAAGTAGAGTATTATCTTTTGAAAAATCATTAATTTATTACAAAGTTTATTCCATAATATCAAATATACTTGTAATGACAGATTATACAAATATCTAACACTTATATAAATCCCCTAACTCTGTAAGTATTTCTTAAAATTTACTGTGCCTAACTGTCACCTGGAAATTTATAGAACTGCAAATTCCTACACCCCACTCAGAGATTATGAGTCAGTAGTCTGGGTTAAGGGTATGTTATCTACACTGATACTGAACAAACAGGAAATTCTTAATGTAAGTTTCATGTATTACTCTTTGGAAATAATAGTTAAATACCCTCTTTGGAATTCTTTCCATAATAATGTCATCAATAACTAAAGTTATTTTGAATTTATACTTGTAAAGGAAGACATAATCTCTCACATAAAACCAAACCCCAAATCCCTTACATGTGTTTAATAAATTAAGTTTATATTACATTGATGTGAAGAGAAAATTCAAGTTTAAAATATATTTTAATGGTCTGATCATTACAACATCTACTCTAGTTTGCCTATCAGCCAATGTTAGGAAAACCTGGCTCTGTCACATAATTTAAAATACCCGTAAGGAGGAAAGTGAACCAACTTCTGGAATAAATACAAGTATTCTTGCTACAAACATCAGAAAGCAACAGCACAAAGAAATAATAAAGGCATAAACTCTCCCTTTGTATGGCTATATGATTCAGAACTTGGGATATTTTTATTTAACTATCTGGGATATATGTCATATATCAGATTATTTTACAGCTGAAACATAGTCCTGCACCTTCATATTACAGATAAAGATCTACATTAAAAGTTTATTCTACTGTTACTAATTATTATTACTAAAATGTAACATATAAATGTCTAATTATTTTTCCTTTTGGATTTCTCAAAGACAGACAAAGTTTTTAAGGAAAATTCTAATGTTAAATAGAAAAAGCATACTACCAAAACAAGATGTGCTGAAAGGAATGGAAGAAGAAATAAACCATCTGACTCTCTTAGCTAAAATAAGAACAAGCTGACAGTAACCACAGGGGAGGTGGGAGGAGGATAATGGGGAAAGGAGAGGAAGGGTCATCAAGGAACATGTATAAAGGACCTGTGAACAAAGCCAAAAGGGTGCAGGACTGACGGTGGGAGCTGGAGGTCAGTGGGGCAGGGGAGAGTGGAGGGAGGAAAATGGAGACAACTGTACTTGCACAATAAAAATAAATTAATTAAAATTAAAATTAAAAAATTAAAATTAAATAATGTTCCGAAAATGGGAATAAGTTTAAGATTTTCATAGCTTTATTATAATTGTTAGAAAGACTGACCTAACTATAAGCCAATAGTAAATATCAACAAGCTACAGACATTTTAAATTATTTATTTTATATTCTATGACAGTGGAATAAATTATAAATGATTAATAGAACAAGAATAACAAGCACAAAAACAATTAACTATAAAATCCCGAGCTTCCTGAAAATTTAACACGTTCTTAAATAATTCACTAAAGATTAGATAAAAAATAAATTAGAAAAAGTTTGAACTACATTATAAAGAAAATAAAACACAACAAAAATGTAATTAGCTGACTCCATGTAAGAGAAAAATTTTTATCATATTTTAGTAAAGAAGCCTGAAAATCAATTAACTAAGCTTCCAACTAAATAAGTTAGAAACAGAAAATAAAATTAAACCCAAATAAAAGAAATAGTAAATAAAACACACATAACAAACATACAGTAGATCATCAAAAAAGATAGAATTTTGTTCTTGGACAAAATTAATCCAGTTGACAGATCCTTGGTTAATTAAGGAGGAAAGAAGAAAAACACAAATTGTCCATAGCAAGAATAAGACAGAGGACAACATTATGATCTTACTAACATGAAGGAAGATAGTAAGTGGATATTCTGAACAAGATAAGTCCAATCAATCTGGCAATTTGGATGAAATAAATAAATTTATTTAAGATATAATTTACCAAAACTGACAGAAAAAGAAATAGGAAATTTGATTCATTCAGTATCTTTAATATCTATCAAAACATTAAAGGTGCTACAGAAAACATTCTTACTAAGAAGCTACCAGATTTAGATGGCTTCGATAATGAATTCCACTTAATATTTAAAAAAAAAATAGCCCATTCTATACAAAATCTTTTTGGAAATATAACACAAGTAAATGTATACCAAGATTTTTAGGAGGCCAGTATAATCTTGACTTACAAAGTTTATAAAATCATTATATGAAGAAGTTACAATTAAATTCTTGTCATAAGCAAAGATAAACATTTTAAAACTTACTTTTAACCAAATTCAGCCATTATATAAAGGGAGTAACAAGAATCTTCTCCCACTGCTAAGAGTTAATGTGATATGTTCATATTAGAAACTGCCAGTAGCATCTACTATAAGTACTGGATACCCTGACTCAGCAGCCACTTACAGGTGCATCTCCAAAAACAAGGCACCAAAGGATAGCTGAGATTCTGAGGACCAATGCTGCTCTGCATACCGTGCATCGCCACCCTTCCCATAGGATCTGGGGGTTGGGTAGGTTTTCTCATACCAGTGATGAGCTATTTTGTCTTATACCTACACTCTAGATATAATTACTTTTATTCCAATGTAACTAGAAAAATAACTAAAATTGAAACTGACCAAGCTAGAGCAGACAATCTAGGCTATTTTTAAGAGTATTTCTCGTAAACTGAAGAGCATCAGGCTCGTGATCCATTTACTAGCATTCAAGTCCGTTCTTGTTACATGTGACAGGAATTTCTCCAGCTCAGTGTTGTGGGGAATTTTGTGGTCCCAAAATTGCATGTTGCAGTAATTCATAAGCAGCAGTGGTACTGAAAGGAAAGTACTAACAGAAAGTTTTGAAACACTGCAATGTTGAGATGTTCACCTGTGTAAAATATTTTTGTTGCCAGTTGTTGCTTTTTATGCTTAGCATCATAAGAATGGTCATGATTAATTTGGCCCCACATTTACGTCCTGTAAAAACAGAGCCATAATTGAATTGGTCTAAATCATACTTTCATTATATGGATGAGGGTATCGAATCTCAGTAATCAGCTTATCAAAAGTCATGTAGAGGATTTGAGGCACAGCCATATCCAGTATACTTAAATTTATATTTCTGAATAATCCACACATATAACACATATATTCCAATTTATCATCCATGTAGCAAGTGGTTTCAAACACCGTTTTTTTTGTTTTAGCCATCATTGGGCTCAGATGTTAGCCTGGGAATTTACTAACTGGAGGAGTTTGTGCAATCCATTTAACCTCTCCAAGCCTCAGTTCCCTTATTTGTAACTGATAATGTAACTACTAACTGATAGTGTTGTATAAACATATAAATGAGTTTGTATATATAATGTGCTTAGCTCATGACATTGTACTTTTGTTTGAGATAAATTTATTTATATTTTACTATAATTTTTATTTTTATCATACATTACTTTGGAGATATTTAGGATTAAGAATTCGATCAACTAAGAAATAACAATTTGCAAATAAACATTTTCATAGAATATATACATATTCAATTAGTTCTATAACTTTTCAAGATACAACTTATTCCTCATTTTTTTCCAAGAGAAATGACCCTATACCTTACTGAACAGAGCTAGTTCATTATAATTCTTTTGTTAAATAAATAAGCATTGAAATCATAGTATATGATGACTAAGACAAACAGAATAACAACACAAAAGTCATATAATGTAAACTAAATTCTTAGAGTAATATCAGTAATACTTTGGGTTAAGATAACAGATTTTTACTTCCTTTTCAAATTATAAGTGTAGTTCAGTGAGTACACCTTTTAAATTAAAAATTGTTTTGGCCAATTCCACATTTGCTTTGGATTCACAAAGATACTTTGTAATATCTGCCTTGTTCTTGGTTAATATTACATGTTAATGAAACAGTTTCATATTTAGAGTTAATCAATTAAGAATGAAAATCTCACCAAAATTAAAATTGAGAAATTAGAGAACAGGAAAATAAAACAGAGACCATGCAGCTTCTTTGTTCTCAATCAGTAGCCAAACTTTGGGAGGGAGTGCTATTGCTACAGTGTTTGAAAAAACACTCTAGGATGCCAAGATCAACTGCCAAAAAAAGAAAGCAAATAATAATACCAAACATCAAAAGCTACTTTTCACAGTTCCACTCTGAAACAGAGGATTATAAAAACATTGCTTGTTATAGTCATAACAAAAACCTAACGTTTTGTGTCAAGGCAGGAATAGTTCAGAGCCTTTTTAAATTCCAGCTCAAAAGGGACCCCTGATTAAAATATTAAAAAGAAAAAAGGAATACGTTTGAGATGCCAGGATTAAGGATAATTGCAGGTGAAAATCCCACATTTGAACCATAATTCAACAAACACGATTATTATACTGGCTTCAAGGTGTTATTCTTGTGTGGTTTTTAGATAGTATAACATTTAGCTTAGTCTTTCTTAAGTATGCATCTCTGAATTTAGAATATGAATAAAAGAATTGTTTTCAATCATCACTAACTTCCATTTTCTACTCAGAGTGGTACAGAGAAAAGGCATGTGTTTCATTAACAGTTCCATATGTTATCTGTCAGATTTGTAACCAAAATA